AATCGGATTTGCTTACCGCTGTCATCAATTTAGCATTGCGAGACTTTCCATTCGGCAAGAGGAGACATAAGACTCGATTGAATGCTTGGATTCAGAAGAGGAGAGTAACACAGAAGGTGCTTTGACATGACTCGAAGGCCTTTTCGCTCAGCAGAGACAAGAGGAATGCATTTCGAGAGTTGCGTGATTTTAAACTCGTATTCTGCACCAATTTTGACAAGTAATTAACCGGGCTAAGGTGGAACAATTGGGTCGATCAAGCTTGACTGTATATGTCTGATGCAAAAACGGTTATGTGAATCAACAACTCACAAATTTCAGTCCTGAAATCTCGTTAACCGGTGTGGCATAGCGGTCGGATCAAGGTTGTTCACGATGCTCCAATTACGTGGGAGCAGTGACTATTCTGGAGGCTCCACCGACTTTGTGGTTGTTGATTCAAAACGCGGACACAGTCTATTGTGAAGAGGAGTTCATTCAGGGCTCCTAATTGTCATTTAGTCGATCAGAGCAATTGAATGGGTGCATGGAATTTACATAAATTGAATTCGAGGTTATAATTGGTTCCCACTTGTATTGTCATGAGGCTTTCTCTTTAAACAGGCTAGAAGTGGGGCAGTATCTCCTCTCCTCGCACAAGGTCTTCAACAAAGTACGATACCAACTCTACAAACTTTGCACGGAAGATTACAAGACGGAGTACGTTGTTTGGGTTTGGTCATTGCTAGCTTATAAAGTACAGGTAGCAGAGAGCTTTTCAATCGACATGCAGGCCTCCAACTAGGGTTATTCAAAGTGTATCACGATTTTTTTGCTGAAAGATATGTCAGTTTCAGATTTTAATACCCTCTAACCTTGTCTTCCATGGCTGACGAAAGTTCTTGCACTCTTTTCCAGTACGCCTGCTGCATCCACTGTCAATTTAAGTAGCTGTGCAACCGAAGCTTTTTACAAGGCAGGTCTCGATTTCATTTCCACCTCTGCTCCAACTTCTGATCGTGGAGAAACTTGGAGGTGGGTCAAACGTCAACGTCTTGATCTCTCCATTCCGAGTGGGGTGGATGGGGACAGTCTTCGTATTCCTGCCATTGACACGGGAGTCCCGGAGATCACATCGTCTCCATCTTCACAGGCAACAACTTCCGCCAATTTGACAATCAGAGGATCATCGAGGAAGAGACGACTATCACATTCATCAGAATCAGACAAATCTTTTAAGCCTAAGGTGGATTCTTCATCCACTGAAGCAGCACAAGACAGTCCACCCAAGCTGCGTCGTTCTCTGCGCCTCAAGCGCGATGAGTGTAAATGAGCTTGAAATCACCTACAACCAAATTGTGTCCTCTTCAATCGAGATTACGTTTTCAGTTTTTGTCACCAATACGCCTCCACGTCGGTGGCTCGAAGCTCCTCTTCTTTTCACTTTTTGTGCTAACACCTTCAGATTGGCATTTAATGAAGATCGTTTAAGTCAGACAGCGATTTCATTCTTTAAAAAAAATATTTTAAAATGGACACTAGCATATGTTGAAGAGAAGGCAGGAGGTCGCCCTGATGTTACGTCCTTTCTTTTTGTCAACACCTCTGTAAGGCGAGTGTAAGTTCAATTAGATCATTTTGGATCCTCTTTGAAAGGTGACAATTTTAAAGAGATTCAAATGTTTGGATGGTTAGGACCCACAGTGGAATGGTCAACACGCAAAGGGTGTCGATTTCCTATACTACTTATTTTAATTTGAATTCGAACTACATCGATCGATAAACTAACTTTCCTGGAGCAATCAGGAGGTAGTGGGGGATGTTGCTCTTCGAGAAGCTTCGGGGCATACATTTTGGTGGACGTTCTCTCATATTCTTCTCATTTCTTGTGAATTTGAGCGTTGCAATTTTTACCTACTACGGTCTAGCCTGGATCTATGTGCAGAGGCTGGTAGTTGGAGAGGGGAATGTGCCTACAACTAACATCACTTACTTCTACCTTTCCCGCTACCCTCAAGATTTGAACCGTCTTGTTGAAATGAGCAAACACCTCGAGGAGAGTGTCAATATGTCTCAACATCAAACTAATTCTTTCGGTAGGTCTCTAGATGCGATTACCGCGACAGCTGTATGGTACCAACCATAGTTATAAGGTTGCAATATGTTTCTGATGTCTCCACCTGATTGGTTGACTGAGGATTGTTGAGAGGCTAAATGTGCAGTTGTTTTAGTGCTTTCTTTCTTTACTAGTACAGGGTGTTAATGTTCGTTGGAATGATTCACTGAACTGTTACAGAGCAATTATTTGTATCACTGTCGTCCATCTTCTCAGCTTCTTGATATCCTTTCTGAAAGTCGACACACACCAAACAAATTGGGGGATGTATTATTCTACTGCTGTTGTGTACGTTGGCGAGAGTAAGTTTACCAATCAAATCGCAGCAGCAATCTGATTGGCCTGTCTCACTGTATTAATGCTTTTACTTTTATCTGTGTCATAAGTAGCCATTAAACCCCAGGTTGACCACTATCATTGGATTGTCGATAATTTTAGTGGTGCTAGACTGTATGCAAGCGGACAGCAACGTGAAGATAATCCTCTACCTCAACGAATATTTCAATACTTTAAATCGGTATAAAGTAACGGGAAATGCCTCTAGTGTGAAAATGGTCGATTATTTGGCGATTCATCCGCCAGGACTCTATTTTGCCGCTATTATCCTCCGAATGACTCTCAAAACAATATTTTATGGTGTTCTAGTTGAGCAAGCAGATAGAAGCGATTGTACCGAAGCAGAACATTGACTACCGTTATTGAGTGTATTTCTTTTTCGCTACTAAGCCGTTAGCAGCATGGTTACTTCACATGGCTTTTGGGCAATTCGTTGCTTGTACCCTCTCCACCACTGTCACGGGCATCTGCCCTCCTCAGGATACGTTAGTAGTCATGACGGAGCACACTGCGGAGGGTGAGAACAGGGAGAGGGGGAAGGCACGCTGATCTCCTCAAAGTGCGGCCCACGCGTATGATACATTTTAAGCAGCTTATATGCACTACAGCCCCAAATTGCAGAAATTATATGATCGCGGGCAACCACAGACAATACTGGTAGTCAAACAAGATGATACTGCAGCAGAATGGAGCAAATTTCCACATTCGTAGATTTTCGTTGTTGGAGAAGGGAGCATCTATGATAATTTCAAGGTGTCACAAGCTCTCTCACAATTTACAGCCGTGTAGACTGGGCTTAGGATTGTGATATAGTCTCAGATTCATCCCTTCTACCAAAATGCATGTATTCGACTGAGCCTTACACCTTCTCTTGTTGAATAAAAAGTCTCAAGGCGCTAGACTGTTAGCTGCGGTGGGCAGATCCGGCTTAATTGTGGCTTCAATTTTTAGTTTCCGAATGTTTGAAACGAATAATGTGGTGCGATTGAAGTGTGGGTACCTTAAGTGGGAGAATCTCTAACCTCTTCACAACAAAAGCCTTGGGCGCGAATCCTACGTTTGACGCAAAATCCATTCCCCTTTTGCTTACGGACACAAAATTCATAAATGAGGAGGTAGTGTCGTGATCGGTCTGCAAAGCTGCGTCTCAGAGTTGGCGCTGCCGCATCCACAATGTGAAATTGTAATATGTCGTTGTAATGCTTTGTTTATGTGGCTACTTGACGTTTAGCGTTCACTTTAGAATTTGTCTGGCCCCTGTATGCGTCTTTAGAATACGTGTATTCAACCTAAACTATGCCTTCTTCCACCCTATGGGAAGCCTCGCGACGTTACAGTTGTATCCATTTGAAGCTACCTAGGGGGTCAAGTGCACTTCTGCAATCTCAGAGGCACTGATGACTTGTATTGCTGGCTTATGGGTGTCTTTTTGCATCACCGATGATTGGTTCAGAAAATTAAGAAATGCAGTTATCGGACCTTCCAGTCTGCCTTCAGACCCCTAAATCTTTGGTATCATCAGAGGGCCGCTTGGAGATAGTTTGTTGGACATCCTTTACGGTAAGAATTTAGTGTTTGAAATGAACATCGGCTTCTTCCTTATGGATAAACTTAATCAAAATTACCTTGGCCATTTGGATACATGTATGGATGGCTACGACCTTAGCGGCCATCTTGCGTTCGCCATGTGGGCTGGACTTCGAAGCTTGCCCAAACGTAGTCTCCATTTTACTTTGAGAACAGGTCGGATTGGAAGGTCCAAGGCGCTGTTCTACTCGTAACATTTATGGAATTAGCAACAAAACGCTTAACTACCTGGCTTTTTGCCACGTCAATAACAATTTGGCACTATGCTCACTTCTCAAATAATTTGAACTTTACCTATAAGTGGCACCAACCTTTGCAAAGAGACACGTTTTGCTGACTAAAAATTACTGACAACGACTGCAGCCTACTTTTATATTTCAAATTCAGTATTGCAATAAAAGTATAGGTAATCTGCTTTGTGAATTTTGTTTAGTCCACCCATTGGCTCACGCTCGTTGTCCATTGGTGCTTAGCTTTCTGAACTGTGATATGGTATGAAGGGCTTTGTGGTGATTTAGTTGCACCATTAAACGAAAAATAGCGCGATTATTTTGTCACTTTTCATTAGTAAACTGAGAAATGAATGCTTTGATATTGTTATTTGTACTTAAAGTAGTTGCTGGTGGAGACGATTTGTATGACAAGCTTCATGTGTCTCGTTCAGCTACTACTAAAGAAATAAAAGCGGCTTACAGACGGGAAGCAACTGCATGGTATATCGATAACAACTTTGTTGTCTATAAATAGGCATCCTGACAAAAATCCTGCTGAAGATGCTGAGCGGAAGTTCATTGAAATCACCAAGGCTTATGAGGTAGGTGCCTTTTGACGAGTTTACCTCCTCAGATTCTCTCAGACCCTCAGAAACGAGCAAAGTATGATGCCTACGGTGTCTATGACTCCATTGGTGGGAGTCCTTCCAGTGGGGGTCCATCCCCGGTTAATCCTGACCCCTTTGCAAACTTTTTCAGTGGCCATTTCTTCCACTTTGGTCATGTTCCTCAGGATGAAAACGTTGAGGCAAGTGTTTTTTCCACAATCATTTATTCGCTCCCCATTTATAGGCAGTTACATTTAACACTTATCGAGAGAAACTTCTCCCGGCCTCTCGAAGCACTCCGCTTATGCTTCTCGGGATTTCTCACTTCTGTTTCTTGTGTCGGCAAATTCAACCTCTCTGGTCGAAGATTGCCAGCCGATACTCCCACCTGGGTGTCACGTTTGGTATCGCAAACATTCAGGAAGATCACGCACTACGAGAAGAACTTAACGTTCTCCACTCTCCTAGTGTCATCGCTGTAATTGATGGCAAAGTGTCTTACTTCATGCAGTCAGAATTCACAGAGGAGGCGATCGTCGAATATCTTGTCCAATCTCTCTTAAGTATAGGCCCTTTGCGGTCTTCACCACAAAAGGGGTTGCCTAGTACAGCGTTGGGTACACCACTTATGCAAACAGTGAGTACTGAAGCCGAACTGAATGTCTTCCATATTGGATGGTTGAAGGATAGTCGTCCGAGGGCGCTGTTTGTTAAAGCTGCTCCAGGTCCGCCTCTCCGATTTTGTCTCGCTGCTTTTAGAGCTGTGGACTTCCACGCCTCTGCATTCGTGGATGCTCAGAATTCACTGGCGAAACCGATTATCCAACGATTAAATTTGAGTAGAAGCGAGGTGAGTTGGGGCAAAGTTTGAGGCATTGTAGCAAATCAACCTTCCTCTTGCTACGGTTTACTGTGTTTGAATTTCGAAATGTTAGCAGCGTTGCTTTCTAATACCGAATTGCTTGGGTACCATAACTTCTCATTATGGGGTAGTTACTTTGAAAATGGGCAAGATATTTAATTAATTATTTTGATTCTTCCTAGGAGAGCATTGTGGTATTCCATGAGTCGCCTGACGAAGTGGTTATTTCTCACTCCGCCAGCCACCTCCCACGGCAGATCATTGACGATGTGCTGATGAAGAACAGTCGCCTTGCTGTACCCCGCATTCTCAGTTCCGCACGCTTCCTCGATCTCTGCCCTGCTGATGGCCATCCGCCCTCCTCTGCTTTTGCTTCCGCAGCTGAAATCACCAAAGGAACCGTCCAAGATGGGCATACAAGTCATCGACACCTGTGTCTTATTCTCCTCCTTCATCATCACCACGAAAAAAATCGTGTCTGGTTAGATCTCCTTCGGTCCGCCCTCGTTCCATCCATTCCCCACGCACTTACTACTCCTCTGGGTCTTGCTGACCATCTCCCAAGAGACTTCATACCTATTCTCTCCCCTGCCTACATACTTGTCGATCGACAATCTGCGTGGATAAACAATATCACTGCATCTTCCACTTGTCCTACGTGTTTGGGATCTCTGGCAGACCTTGATGGTCATCTTCTGGCCCTCTGGCGGATCTCATCTAGAGTTCTCGGTTTTCGTCTTCTCCCGAGGAATGCTAGTCTCCATCCTGCGGAAATCTCCTCGGTGGAGGGGTACGCTGAACGACTGAAGAAGACCTTAGCCAGTTTGGTTACGGATATGGTAGCAGTAAACAATTTCTTAAAATCGTATGATGTGAGGAAGGTGAGGAAGAATGTAGCTGGTTGGTCGCTCGCCTACCTGCCACGAATGGAGGCGCTTTTAGTAGATGAACTGGCAGCTCCTCTGTGGTTGCGGATTAGACTGAAGGCTTGGAGTCTCTGTCGGACTGCGATATCATATTTTGACAGGTAATTTCGAAGCTCTCATAAGAGGAGAATCCATAGTTCCAGACGATATCAATTATCCTTACTTTTGTCTTCATCTTACGCTGTTATGTATGTGCTCGGTTAGGAATAGCACAACAGCTTTGACTTGCAGGTAACTTGAGTTTTATTGTGCAATCCTCTCTTTGTGCGATCTTTTTGCGATTCGTAGCATGTGGGCTGACCCAATGGATTTCTTCCTAACCAGCGGTTTCACATTTATACTCCTCACTATAATCGCTGTCTATCGGGTGGGATGGGATCTTTGGTCGGAGATTGCTCCTCCATCTTCTACTCATTCTTCGAGTCCTCATTCCCCATCTATGAGGGATTTCCCGTCGCCCAAAGTTCCTTGCAAGTGAGTTTATCCATCCGCCCGCTTATTCACTCCTTAATCTGGCCATCCGAAATGAATTTGATTTGCTTTTTATTTTTCTTTCGAATTCTTCATTTTTCGGCCGAATCGATAGTGATATGGAACCGAAAAACCTTCTCTTGACACCTTCAACCTACGATCGTCTTGTGTTGGCGGCTCCCAAGGGTCAATTTAGCATCCTTCTCTGCACAGACGCTTCTCCTCTTGGTCAACGCCTTGCTGATCAGTTCTACAACATTTGTCATAGCTGTGGGTGCGTCATTTGTTCTCCCTTCATCACCTCTTTAGATGCTGTGGATAACTTGTCCTATCTTCTCTAGCGCTGGGACAAATGTACCTCTCGTTCCAGCCTGCTTGTTTTTGGATCGCTACGCTAGCTGGCTGGGATGGGCGCTGGAGGCAGCTACTAGGATTCCATTTCGTCCATCCTCTTCTAGTACTTCCAATCATGTGGCAATGACATTCAACCCTGCCAACTGTCGTGGAACTGTACTGGCTGTCAATGGGTACAGACGATACTTTCATATTTACCACCCCCTCCTGCCAGGAGCTAAATCAAGGTCGTATTCTCAGGTGAGCTGTCCATTTTTCTCTACCACATTGTATAATTTTACCTATCTACTTGATTGTTGAATTCGGAAGTTATACCATCTTTTCTATTCATTAAAAAGGGAAATTATGTTCTGGATAAGAACAAACAAATGTGTACTTGATTTCTTAACGAGTCCGTGTTAGGAGACATTTGCGTCATTTCTCTAAACGTAACATTTTGCAGAAAGAATTTGAGATGTTATTTGTGGGTGTCTTAAGGTTATCCGTCTGAGTTTGAGTCCCACCGACTTTTTGTCTGGATTAATGGAAGGACTGAATCTTGGACTGGCCGTCCTTCACTGCTTGCCAGTGTACGAGGTCAGACAGCGCGGGGTGATTCCATTCTTGTGCATCGGTGCCACTTTTTGTTTCCTCAAATTCGCTAGTAATTGCTGGTAGAATTGAGGTCTCCGCATACGATTGCTTCCAATCAAGCGACTTCGCTGAGAAGACGGGTTTAGATGAAGTGCTCTTGACCGCCCAGGACTTTAATCCGAAAGGCAGATTCATTGAGAATTTGCACTGATGTTTTTTTTTTGAGTCACAGGTAGCTAAAGTGAATTAGTATGTTGTCTTTTCCCCTATTATAGC